AAATGGCGAATAGGTAATGGCAAGACCGCTTCTTTCTGGTTTGATTCTTGGCATCCAAAAGGCCCACTTCATTTGATCTTCTCGGATAGGGATATTTTCTATTCGGGTATCCCACGCTCGGCCTCGGTTTGTGAGTTCCTTTCTTCGGATTGGCACCATTCGAATGTATTGCAATCATTCAACTCTTGGGCATCTCCTCTCCCAATACTTAATACTGATACACCAGACCACTTTGTCTGGCTCGGACATTCGTCTGGTATTTTCTCTATTACCTCGGCTTGGGAATTGGTTCGGGCAAGAGGACAAGCGATTTTCTGGGACACCTTCATCTGGGACTGTCATATTGTACCGCGCCATGGTTTTTTGATGTGGTTGATGACCCTTAATAGGCTTCCCATGCAGGTATTCCTTCTAAACTATCATAGAATATCTGAAGGTCTATGCGCCTTCTGTCGCATTAGATCTGATTCGGTCGACCATCTGTTCTTTGGATGCAATGTTACAGGCTCCCTAGCGCAATATTGGGCTTCTAATTGTCATCTTTCATGGCGTAATGGGTCCTGGAAAGAGAACCTCCGATGGGGTATGCATTTCATTGGTGGAGATAGCTTTTATCACCGTATCTCTCGATTTGCTCTTGGGGCATTGATGCAGGCCAGATTGATAATGCCGCCCGCATCGAAGAGGAGCTCACTCGACCAAGGAGATCAGCCCGCATCCGAGCTCGACAAGTCGCTCGACCAATATTGAAGATATCGAAGGGACGCAATTCGAAGACCAAGATTCTCATCCGCGAGTCCATGCCACAATAAAGTCCTTGTCTTTCCCTATACATTGGAAGCCTAAAAGATACTTTGGGATGATCAAGAAGATGTTGGGCATTTATCTAGTTTCTAGTTTCTAAGTTCTTTAATGTTTTATGCCTTCTAGGGTCTTTAATGCTCTTTAGTCTTTTCATTTGCTTGAGTCTTTTCATTTGTTTTTCTTTGGCTATAAAAGACCATCTACTTTATGTATTCGACAGACGAATTTGATTAATGAAAATTTTGCATCAAGCAATTATCTTGAACCTTGAAGAGTTCATACCCCTGAAAACCTAGAAGAGTTTTCACTCCGTCCTTGAAGAGTCGGAGGTTTTCAAATCTGCATCCTTGAAGAGTTGCAGTCATCGATCTAGAAGAATCGGTGTCCTATCCACTTCCTTGGAGGCCTGGAAGAGCAACCAATGAAGTTCTATCTTTTCCTCTGTTTTGTCCATTTACATCCGTCCACTTCCACCCCGATTTCGTTTAATTGTCAATCCAGAAGTCTTTGTTCATTTGGCTTTGGAATCAGGTCATTCCGATCTGTATCGACGAAGTTACATCCATTTTCCCGAGCTTGCGCAGGACTGTAATTACTGTTCGTCCTGTTCCACGTGTGCAAGTCACTCTCCCGATCCTAACGTTCGAGTAGCCTACACCAGGCTGCATCAGGCATTGTGCCATCTCATTTGGGTTGAACGGAATAATATCCTTTTCAGAAATAGCACCCTTTTATGCTTGCTCTCCGCAATCATCTTGCCAAGGTAGTTAGAGACAAAGGCCTTTCTCTCAAGCCGGTTCAAGACAATCCTCGGAACAGAAGGATTCAAGCCAGTTGGGGCATATCTGATTCTATATTCAGCTGACCCTCTTTTGTAGTCTTTGTTGGTGTTTTATGTTGGCTGCCGGGTAGCCTTCTCTGTATAGCGCTTCTTGTGCTTCCTTTGTTTGCCGCAATACCTTTCTACCTGTCGGGACACCTTTGTCTCTTCAGGTACGAGGTTTTTGTGTTCGGCCTCACTTGCTGTAAAATGCGCGTTGAAAAGTTATATACCACTTACTTTAACCAAAAAAAAAAAAGAATTTCAAATTAACAACATTTGGTACTGTTCACCAAAATAACTGGATTGAATTTTTTGAAGAAGGTTTAGATCTTAATTATACCAATCGAGTAGTCTAAGACTGGATTTATACATAAAGCTTAGGAATTTCAGTGCCATTTTTCCTCGAAAAATGTATGTCTTCTGTTCCAGCAATTTAAGCATTCGGCATATTAGTCAGTTAAGCACCTAATTTGATTATGGGAACTGAGCCAGAAAAAGATCAATAGTTACTTAAGAGTATAGACAGAAATTGCCAAACATACCAACATTAAGTGCTTGATTTGAAAGATCTCCATGTCCTCATTCTTGTCTTCACATATATCAATTAGTGTATCCAGTACATCGTCCTTCCTAGCATAATCCGATGCTGCCCTCATCTGCAGCCTTTTCCGTATCAATCCCTCGAACATATCCAACAATTGCCCGAAATACATCTTCATTCGACGCCTTGAACCTTGCGGGTCAATCTTCTTGAGTACTGGAAAATAATCTGCAATGTTAGGTTTTCCGTCCTCGACGGGAAACGATCTTCTTGAACTCGGCAGCAGAAACAGAAGAAGGGTCTGCTAAATCCAAGGAGAAAATGCTGTTGGACAAGAAGTTAAGGGTAGTCCTGAAAGCTGCTTCACCGATGTCCACCGCATCGCCGACTTGAGCGCTTATCTTGACGTGGGCAAGAAGCTCTTCTACTTTCTTGAGACGCAATTGTTGAGTCGAGTCGAGCTTCTTGTTGGTGAATAGGTTGCATACTCTCCTTAGGTTTCTCCACAGAGGCGAGATGGGCGCCCAGGGCAAACCAAGCGCGTCTTCCTTGAATGCAGTTATTGTATCGGGGACCATGCAGTTCGAAAAAGACGCGTCGTGGGCTTGGAGGATTTCCCTGGCAACGCTAGGTGACGAGATGACTATAGTGGTTATGAACCCGAGGCGGAGCTTAATGATGGGGCCGTAGGTGAGAGCGAGCTTGGCGAGGGACTTGTGCGGAAGATCGCCGAGCTCGAAGAGGTTACCGATCACCGGAAGAGGTGGTGGACCGGGTGGGAGATTGGAGGGACTCGTGCTGGCCTTTTTCTCGAGGAAACGAAGAGCTTGGACTAAAACCCAAACGAGGGAAGCACACAGAATCAACGCCAAGAAGTCCATCTCTCTCTCTCTCTGTGTATATTATGAGGGGGAGAACAGGTATAAGGCATGGATGTGAGTATAGTATAGGGTTTTGGAAATGCCAAGTGTCGAGCCATCACTGCCTACTTTTCCGATCCTTTAGCTTAGTTGAAGGGGCAATCCCCACATGGGTAAAGACCCAAGCGCAAAGAAAAATGGAAGAGATTTGAAATAAGAAAACGAAACGAGACAGAGACCATAGAAGTATACATAGAGTTTCGAAAAGCTTGTAAGTAGCTGAGCATGGGTAGGAATGGAATTAGGATGGATTCCATCAATTTTTTTTTTAGTAAACTCTTTAAATCAGTTTCGAATCTGTTACGAATTTTGACATAATATTCCTGACCCACCCCATGTCCTTAACTTGACTTAATATTCTGCAATAAACAATAGCCGTGCATTAATTGTAATTTTTAGATCTTTATCATCGATTAAATTCTTGCGTTGTATTACTTTATCATCTCAATTTATCGTTGATTAAATTTCAGCAAATTTTGTATTTCGTCATCAATTAAATTCCGACAAAGTATATCTGTTCCTTGTGATTCATTGATAGTCATGTTCGGAATCGCCACGGAACGCATTTTCACTTCAAAGAACCAAAGATGAATCCTTTGTAGAAAGATCTCTCGTCGACCGTCATTTTATACCAAACGCCATTATACATGTCACTTGTCAACCGCTTGGGCTTTCCTTCAATCATTCATTGTCCGTCATCTGTATTGATGGTCCACTAACACAGAACCATCCATGAGATTTCACCTCATACGGCTCCTCGTGCGAGTGATGGGGTACTTTTCCTCGTCCGAGATCCTCCTCCCTTCTTCCACTAGGTCACGACGAGCATCTAGGGCCGATTTAATTATGTTATCATGTTCTAATAATCAGCATAGATTAATGATGACAGCTATGATAGTAATAATAATAAAAAATGATAGTAATGCTAAGACATTTGCTGCCAAAACACGTGTGTGGCAGTAGTAGCACGTTGTCCTCCACCAAACCCTAGATTATCTCATCGGAAGTGGAGCAGAATCGTAAAGATAACATTTTCTTTTTTCCCAATGAAAAGAAACTCCAATCAAATTTCATGGTGGATGTATTTGTATATGGGCTCCCGTCATGGCGGTCCCAAAATTTTCATTAATGTTAATCATCTTCGTAAAAAAAGGCTTCTTTGTTATCGTGAGACAGGTTTTTATAATTGAATCTTCCTTCGATTTTCATTGTCTTTCGAATGAAAAATTAGCAGCTAAATCTTATAAACTGGACATGTAAATGACAAGTAAACCTCTCTTTTCATTTTCCTCTTGTTGCTAATTTTGTTGAATTCGGTTTCGATGTTTTCTTATTTAATCCGAGATTATATTCGGCTGAATAGGCCCATTCTTATCTAATCAAGGATCACATTTGATGTTGGCTTAATTAATGGATTCATAGTGGAGAAACATTAAATAAACGGGTTGTATAGCCTTTGTTTAAATGCATGCGGCATCTGTCACCATTAATACTAGTAGTTTTACTATAAAAAAAAACACATAGCGTAAATGTTATTCCATGAACTTTCATAAAAGTATCTTATTTGTTTCAACTGTGTCTCGGGCATTTTCATCACTATTAACTTTTTTGGGGTTAATGTGGTATTCCCTTTGCTAATAAACTATTCAAATCATCACCCGGCACAATGCTCCTTGGAGGGGACACAATTATAGTAGTTAACGTAGGAAAGAGATCCTCTATCCTTATCGTATTTTCTTGCGATGTCTCTACCATCTCAAATATTAATTTACGTGATAAAAACTTGTCACTATAAATGCATTAATTTGATGGTCGAGATTGTTGGGACGCAAATCGAGAACACAATACAAGGATAAAGGATCTTCACCCATCATATTAACAACTTATAGTCACATTGAGCAGTCACTTGTGATAAGCCTCCAACTGAAAGCGAATTGGGAATTTAGGGTAGTAATAATGAAAGTTTTCGACCTTCGGAAGAGAGTGATAGTATTTCTAAAGTACACGAACATTTTAGGTATGTAGGTCTATACGTTGTTTCTATCATCAACAACTAGGACTTGACTTTGAGTCTGGCTCATACCCTTTATACAAACATAATAAGCGGTAAGTGCTCTCTTGTTTTCGTTCATACAAAAAAAAGTACTACATTCTTTTCAAACTGGCTTGGGAATAACTCTGAGAGGTTGAGCTCTTTGCAAGGTGATCCCAAACTTCTCGTCCATGCACATGTCCTCTGGCTTGACCCCGCCTTCGAGCTCCCAATTGAAGGAGTTTATGAGCGAACCGAGCATCCAATGCAAAATCCTCAAGGCCAACGGCAAGCCGGGACATATGCGCCTACCGGCACCGAACGGAGCGAGCTCAAAATCTTGTCCCTTCACATCGATTTCGGACCCTAGAAATCGCTCCGGCACGAACACGTCTGGGTCTTTCCAAATGCTAGGGTCTCTTCCTATAGCCCACACATTCACAAGAACTTGCGCACCCTTTGGGACAGTGAAACCACCGATCTCGATTTCCAATCCCGATTTGCGAGGAAGATAGAGAGGAACTGGGGGGTGCATCCGGAGAGTCTCTTTTATGATGGCTTGTAAGTAGGGCATGCGAGCGATTTCAGATTCTTCTATGGGTTTCCCTTTGCCAATGACTCGATTGAGCTCGGCTTGCGCTCTAGAGAGCTTCTCGAGACTGTGGAGTAGCTCGGACAATGACCATTCTAATGTGCTCAAAGTAGTGTCCGTTCCCGCAACAAATAAGTCTTATGAGTGTCCACCACAAGAGATATTAAACGATGCATGTCATTGTGACACATGAACTTTTTATTTACTGATATTTTAACGAACAATTTATATCTCTAGATATTTACAAATTTCATTTATAAAGAGATAAGATAAGCAAGAAATCGCTATTGTAACTAGATGGGCATATGCACAAACTAATAACAACTTGCAAAATTATCCTGTAAACCAACTTTTTCATTCAAAATTTTCAGCTCTATTGCATTATCGAAAGAAAACAAATGAGAAAGGTATTGCTTGGGTCCGGTTCACCGTCCACGTCCACGTCAAAATCCGACATATGCAGGATCCACGTGAGTCAACAGTATATCTATGACATATCTTTATTCAAATGATTTTTTGTTCAATCAGCTTTTAAAAAAAAATGTTAAAAAAGTGCTAAACTTATCGTATTGATATCAATTTAGTTTTAAATTTTTTGACCTAAAACCAATTCAGTCTTTCTGATTAATTTTAGCTGAATATTGCTGACTTGGACGCCGAACGGCACTGACGATAACATTTTTAATAATATTTTAATTATTTTTATATTATATATTTTTTATTTTTTTTTCCTCTTTCCTCCGGTAGCCGACGAGGGCTGGCCTCACCTGAGCGACTTGCCAGAGGCGAGGGTAGGCGAGGCTCGAGCCCTCGCCAGTGGCTAGGCGAGGTCGTGCCTCGCCCAACCCCTGGCAAGGCTAGCCAGGTTGACCTCGCCGGCCCTCTTCTCTGGACGATCGCCGAGGTCTGGTGACTGACTGGAGGAAGAAAGAAGGGAAGGAAAACAACAGGAAAGAAAAAGAAAAGAAAAAAAAGGAAAAAAAATCAAAAAACCGGACGGGTCTGCCAAATCCTCGGATAACATGGTCTTCGACAATAGATTGACTACAGTTTTGAAAGCCACTTCGCCTATATCGATAGCATCACCCGTGGACAGGCTTCTCTTGATGTAGCCGACAAGCTCTTGAACTTTCTTGTGGCGGATGTGTTGATCGGACTCGAGCTTCTTGTGAGAGAATATGTGCAAATTGCATATCTTTCTAAGGTTCCTCCAAAGAGGTGAGACGGGGAGCCAAGGCAAGCCGAGCTCGTCTTGCCTCAAGGCAGTGATTGAGTCGGGGATAGTGCGGTTGGAGAAGATTGCATCGTGGGTTTGGAGGATCTCTCTTGCGATTGCTGGAGATGAAACAACAATTGTGGTTACATGACCAAGTTGAAGCTTGATGATGGGGCCATAAGTGCGAGCGAGCTTGGCGAGGGACTTGTGCGGAAGATCACCGAGCTCGAGGAGGTTACCGATCACAGGAAGAGGTGGAGGACCGGGTGGGAGATTGGAGGGACTCGTGCTGGCCTTTTTCTTGAGGAAACGTAGAGCTTGGACTAAAACCAAAACGAGGTAAGCACATAGTATCAACGCCAAGAAATTCATCTCTCTCTCTCTCTCGTAGTATATTATAAGGGTGGAGAACTGGCATGACGCACTCGACATCTTCCATTCAATATACCAAGAATTGGATATATATAGGGTTTCGAAATGCCACGTATCAAATTATTGTTTCTTACTTTTCCCATCGTGTACGAATTTGCTCCATATTCCTATCGTCATCTTTAGCTAGTTGAAACCAACAGTCAATCCCCACATGGGCTGCACATTTTACCCACGCGCAAAAAAAATGACAGAAACATGAATTGCAAGCAAAATGAAAATGAGACAAGGAACATTAAAGTCATCGGTACATTACAGTTTTGAAAGCTTGTAAGTAGCTGAGCATGGTGGCGACGGAAGTAGGACGGGTCCCATTAGTTTTTTTCTTTCCCTCTTAATATATATAATAAACCTAATATTTACAAAAGTAACTAATTTATTCGAAACTTGTGCATTATAATTTACAATTAAAAAACTATGGAGTCTTAGATTGACTATTTGAGATCAACGAACATAAAACTCGTATATTAGAAGTTGTATATGAAATGGTGGGCATCGTCGGAGAAATATTATACTAAATTTCGTTAGTAGCTCCTGGCTGCACTAACATATAAAGAGAACATCAACCACTGCGATAAACAAATAAGGAAAGAGAGGATCTCCCTGTCCAATTCCTCTCGAAAGATAAACTTGACCTGCAATTTTTACCATTTATATGCAATTTATATGAAACTGACCTAACACACACCATTATCCAATTTACCATGTTCCTATCAAAACCCATATGAATTATTGCCAAGTCAAGGAAATGCCACTCAACACGATCGCGGACTTTGTTCATGTCTAATTTCAAAGCACAATCCCTATTTCCCTTTCTTCCTCAGTTTCATGTGATGGAAAACCTCATGGGTCACGATAAAAACATGACCTTTGTTAAATTTCAACATTAGGGGCCTTTGCTAAACCACTTGTGGATTGCTAGTTTGACCTCCAATTTCAAATTGTGATCAATAATATGTTTTTCTTCTACTTTGACTCTTTTTAGTGTTTGGTTGGCATGGAATTGATGCGTAGGCCAAGCCTTGCAGTTGAAGTGCATAGGCCCACGGAACATTTCATTGACCACTATATTTAGCGGAAAATCATTGCATGAAAGATACGATCGCGTCGGTCAGTTTATGTTTACTGGGTTCGCCTCATATTTGGGGCCCGGCTGACAAAATGAATTAGCCCCTGCAACATGCTTGATGCAAATGAATTAGCCATCAGACCCTACGTGCAACGCGTATACGAATAATGCAATATTGATATGTTTTGTTTAGGGGCCGTGGACGATCCCTTATCTTCTTATACAATAAATATGATAGCCAAAATCTAGATGTCAATACTTGTGACTCTTGAATAGTAAATTAATTAATAAATGTCGGTCATGTTAAGAAAGTTCATCAAAATTAATTCACTAATTAGTGGGACAAACTTCATTTGATTGGATGTCTTCAATGAAAGAGCTCGTAGAAAATCAGTTTCACTTGCTTAAAGACCTAAAAAATTTCCGCCTCCTCATTTGATATTTTTAGGAGACTTTCCCTTTTCACTAAGAAGATGACCATCTCTAACGTTACCACATTCGTTATCAACTCAAACCATACATCAAAGTTTTCATCCAGAGATTCCAAATTGGCAAAGTTGGAGAAGAACACTCATTGCTCACTGCCTACACCAACGTTGGCACAGCTCTCAGTGGTTGATCCTTTTGCAAGGTGAGGCCAAATTTGTCGTCCATGTTCATGTCTTCAGGTTCAATCCCACCTTCATGCTTCCAATTGAAGCAATTGAGGAGCGAACCCAACATCATATGCAACATCCTCAAGGCCAATGGCAAGCCTGGACATACACGCCGACCTCCGCCAAATGGAATGAGCTCGAAACTTTGTCCCTTCACGTCCATTTCCGACCCTAAAAACCTCTCGGGCATAAATGCATTCGGGTCCTCCCACAACGTACCATCTCTCCCTATGGCCCATACGTTGACGAAGACTTGTGCGCCTTCCGGCACGGTGACGCCGCCGATTTCTAATTCCGCCCCCGATTTCCGAGGGAGGAGTAATGGAACTGTTGGGTGCAAGCGGAAAGTTTCCTTGACGATGGCCTGTAAATAGGGTAAGCGAGCGATGTTCGATTCGTCGACGAGATTGCCTTTGCCGATGACTTGATCGAGCTCCGTTTGGGCTCTTGATAGTTTATCCGGATTGTGGAGTAGCTCGGCCATTGCCCATTCTAATGTGTTCGAAGTTGTATCGGTGCCCGCGACAAACAAATCCTATGTTCAACGAACAAATATGAGCATGAAATAGTATAAAAATTCCTACTCCTAAAACTATTGGTACAAGCAAGAAGAGCCATATATAGAGAAGCAATGCTATAATACATCATGAATTTAAAAATTAAAATAATGAAATGATTATACCGTAAGTGCTAAATTCCATGCATGAAGTACAATCAATTATCAAATACCTATTGACATTTGCAATCGCTTCCTAATCCTGGCGCAATTTGAGTCTAAACCTTTACCGGAAAATGCAATCCAAATTCAGAATTGTTTCAGAAAGTGCAATTTAAGAATTTCAAATTAACAACATTTGGTACTGTTCACCAAAATAACTGGATTGAATTTTTTGAAGAAGGTTTAGATCTTAATTATACCAATCGAGTAGTCTAAGACTGGATTTGTACATAAAGCTTAGGAATTTCAGTGCCATTTTTCCTCGAAAAATGTATGTCTTCTGTTCCAGCAATTTAAGCATTCGGCATATTAGTCAGTTAAACACCTAATTTGATTATGGGAACTGAGCCAGAAAAAGATCAATAGTTACTTAAGAGTATAGACAGAAATTGCCAAACATACCAACATTAAGTGCTTGATTTGAAAGATCTCCATGTCCTCATTCGTGTCTTCACATATATCAATTAGTGTATCCAGTACATCGTCCTTCCTCGCATAATCCGATGGTGTCCTCATCTGCAGCCTTTTCCGTATCAATCCCTCGAACATATCCAACAATTGCCCGAAATACATCTTCATTCGACGCCTTGAACCTTGCGGGTCAATCTTCTTGAGTACTGGAAAATAATCTGCAATGTTAGGTTTTCCGGCCTCGACCGTGATACGGGACACGATCTTCTTGAACTCGGCAGCAGAAACAGAAGAAGGGTCTGCTAAATCCAAGGAGAAAATTGTGTTGGACAAGAAGTTAAGGGTCGTCCTGAAAGCTGCTTCACCGATGTCCACTGCATCGCCGACTTGAGCGCTTATCTTGACGTGGGCAAGAAGCTCTTCTACTTTCTTGAGACGCAATTGTTGAGTCGAGTCGAGCTTCTTGTTGGTGAATATGTGTAGGTTGCATACTCTCCTTAGGTTTCTCCACAGAGGCGAGATGGGCGCCCAGGGCAAACCAAGCGCGTCTTGCTTGAATGCTGTTATTGTGTCGGGGACCATGCGGTTCGAAAAAGACGCGTCGTGGGCTTGGAGGATTTCTCTGGCAACGCTAGGTGACGAGATGACTATAGTGGTTATGAACCCGAGGCGGAGCTTAATGATGGGGCCGTAGGTGAGAGCGAGCTTGGCGAGGGACTTGTGCGGAAGATTGCCGAGCTCGAGGAGGTTACCGATCACCGGAAGAGGTGGTGGACCGGGTGGGAGATTGGAGGGACTCGTGCTGGCCTTTTTCTCGAGGAAACGAAGAGCTTGGACTAAAACCCAAACGAGGGAAGCACACAGAATCAACGCCAGGAAGTCCATCTCTCTCTCTCTCTCTCTCTCTGTATATTATGAGGGGGGAGAACAGGTATAAGGCATGGATGTGCGTATAGTATAGGGTTTTGGAAATGCCAAGTGTCGAGCCATCACTGCCTACTTTTCCGATCCTTTAGCTTAGTTGAAGGGGCAATCCCCACATGGGTAAAGACCCAAGCGCAAAGAAAAATGGAAGAGACAGCTATGATAGTAATAATAATAAAAAATGATAGTACTGATAAGACATTTGCTGCCAAAACACGTGTGTGACAGTTGTAGCACGTTGTGCTCCACCAAACCCTAAATTATCTCATCGGAAGTGGAGAATGATCGTAAAGATAACGTTTTCGTTTTTTCCAATGAAAAGAATCTCCAATCAAATTTCACGGTGGATGTATTTGTATATGGGCTCTCGTCATGGCGGTCCCAAAACTTTCATTAATGTTAATCATCTTTGTCAAAAAAGGCTTCTTTGTTATCGCGAGATAGATTCTTATAATTGAATCTTCCTTCGATTTTCAATGTCTTTTGAATGAAAAATTAGCAGCTAAATCTTATAAATTGGACATGTAAATGTAAATGACAAGTAAACCTCTCTTTTCATTTTCCTCTTGTCGCTAATTTTGTTGAATTCGATTTCGATTTTTTCTTATTTAATCCAAGATTATATTCGGCTGAATAGGCCCATTCTTATCTAATCAAGGATCACATTTGATGTTGGCTTAATTAATGGATTCATAGTGGAGAAACATTAAATAAACGGGTTGTATAGCCTTTTTTTAAATACATGCGGCATCTGTCACCATTAATACGAGTAGTTTTACTATAAAAAAAAACATGTAGCGTAAATGTTATTCCATGAACTTTCATAAAAGTATCTTGTTTGTTTCAACTGTATCTCGGGCATTTTCATCACTATTAACTTTTTTGGGGTTAATGTGGTATTCCCTTCGCTAATAAACTATTCAAATCATTATGCGGCCCAATGCTCCTTGGAGGGGACACGATTATAGTAGTTAAAGTAGGAAAGATATCCTCTATCCTTATCGTATTTTCTTGCGATGTCTCTACCATCTCAAATATTAATTCATGTGATAAAAACTTGTCACAATAAATGCATTAATTTAATGGTCGAGATTGTTTGGATGCAAATTGAGAACACAATACAAGGATAAAGGATCTTCACCCATCATATTAACAACTTATAGTCACATTGAGCAGTCACTTGTGATAAGCCTCCAACTGAAAGCAAATTGGGAATTTAGGGTA